GTGTGGGGGGGAGGGGGGGTGGACGGGACGCTGTGAGCCTGGTTTGGCCCTGAACAGCCAGTCCTCTTCTCTGTGGTGCTCCGGGCTCTGTTCCGTCAATCTGACCCCAAGCGCTTTCAGAACATCTTCACCACCGTCTTCACTCTCTTCACCATGCTCACCCTGGACGACTGGTCCCTCATCTACCTGGACAGCCGGGCCCAGGGTGGGACAGGCCCCAGGCTGGGTGGAGGGCAGGGGTTTGGCTGGGAGGGCAGACCCCGAGGGCTCCGTTACCCCGTATGCGAAGTGGGGCTTCTGATGCTGGCAGGGGTGTAGGGAGGGCCGTCAAGGAACTCACGGCTCGAACGACGCCCTCTCTCCCAGGCGCCTGGTACATCATCCCTATTCTCATGATTTACATCATCATCCAATACTTCATCTTCCTCAAGTAAGGACTCCACCCCTACTTTGCTCCCCAGCTTCACCCCCAATCCCCACCTAACCCAGGGCACCCCTGCCCAGCCTCTCCAGCCATCTCCCCTTGGTTGTGCCACAACGAACCCGGAGGAGGGTTGCAGGGCCTCTCCTACGGCCTCCTCCTTGAGAGTACCCACCCCCACTACCCACCCCCACCATCCCCAGCCTGGTGATCGCCGTCCTGGTGGATAACTTCCAGATGGCTCTGCTCAAAGGCCTGGAGAAAATAAAGCAGGAGGTACTGAGTGCGGTGGGGCAGGTGGGCCAGTGAGGGAAGCCAGAAGGGGTGGGCACAGAGGCTGGAGGGAAGGGTGGGGGGTGTTCCGGAAAAAGGCAGACAGGGGACTCTGGCAGGACAAAAGCCTTTTCTTCCCAGAGGGCAGCCCGGATCCATGAGAATCTACTGGATGACTCACTGACCGAACTCCGAAAATCAGGTGCTGGCCCTCCTTCCACGGTCAGACACGGAATTCCGGTCTCAGTGGCAGAGTTTGAGAATCTGAGACTCGGGAGAACTTACAGAGCTTAGACCTTTGGTCCAAAGAGCTCTAAGGCGATCCTCTAAAAGCCAATTAAGCGGATCGTCAATTCTTGAAAGCCCCCTTTATGAAATGACTAATTAGCCAGATTATGATTTGCCAAACAGTCATTTCTTCTAATAACTTATAAGGGTTATAGCGGTTGGTTTTACATGGGATGGTTTTGGTTTTTTTTTAATTTTTTTTTTTCAACGTTTATTTATTTTTGGGACAGAGAGAGACAGAGCATGAACGGGGGAGGGGCAGAGAGAGAGGGAGACACAGAATTGGAAACAGGCTCCAGGCTGCGAGTCATCAGCCCAGAGCCTGACGCGGGGCTCGAACTCACGGACCGCGAGATCGTGACCTGGCTGAAGTCGGACGCTTAACCGACTGCGCCACCCAGGCGCCCCTACATGGGATGGTTTTGACTGCCCACGCACTTGTCCAGACCCACTCAAAGTGGATTGAGAGTAAAAATTGAAGTTTCCTGTACGTGTTCATTTTTACAAAGCCGATTTCCTGAACGATTGACGTTGAGACAGTTGATTTGCTTCCTGCTTAAAGATCTTCAGAACTTTAGAATCTGAGCTCCAAGAATCCCACTCTTAGGCTCATCAACACTAGAGGACTAAGGATCCCCAGGGGTCACCTGGTCCCTCACCTGCCCCCTCCATCAGGGTTAGACGCTCAGGGCAAAAATGCTTAAGGAAAAAGAGGAATTAGTTGGCTCAAATTACTTAGCAAATTCAGGGTGTGGGGTTTTCAGGAATGGCTGGATCCAGGACTCGAATGCTGGTCAGGAGTTGGTCTCCTTCTACCTCTCTGCTCTGTAGTCCTCTGTGTGGTTTTGTGCTTAGGGTGGTTCTTCCCTTGTGTTAGGAAAATGGCCACCTGCCACTCTAGCCCCAAATCCTTGCAAATTAGCATCCCTAGCATGCCCAGCAGAGAGGTCCTCTTCTTCCAACTGTTCCAACAAGGACCCAGAAATGAGGCTTCTTTTCTTTGATCATCTGACGATTTTGGAACCAATCACTATAGCCAAAAGAATAGGCTGTTCTGATTGGCCAGGTCTGGGTCACATGTCCTTGGAGGTCGGAGGACAGGGTCAACCCCTGCTGGATGGTGTGGACCCAAAAGGCGCAGGAGTGGTTCCTCAGGAAAACCGGGGGACTTTTTCCAGAAGGAGAGACAAACGAACAAACAAAACTGATACCCACTCTGCGTGGAGAAGCCATCTCTTTGGGGCCATCATGGACAAAAACTCCTTTAGCTAGCCCCATTTGATTTTTGTTTTTTAATGTTTATTTTTTGAGAGAAAGAGAGAGAGAGAGCGCGCGAGTGAGGGGAGGGGCAGAGAGAAAGGGAGACACAGAATCCAAAGCAGGCTCCAGGCTCTGAGCTGTCAGCACAGAGCCCGACACAGGGCCTGAACTCACTAACCGTGAGATCATGACCAAGTTAGACGCTGAGCCACCCAGGCGCCCCATCCTTTAGCCCCATTTGAATATCTCGGTGACACACAAGATTCCTTCTACCTCCTCTCGATCCAGGCATCTCCTTGACGTTCCCCTGTTTTACATCCAGAGCCTGAAGAGGTGGTGAGTGAACATACCAAACAGAAGCAGCTCATTGAGAAGAAATTTGGGACCATGACTGAGAAGTAAGGAGGCGCAAAGGGAGGGGCGGCCATGGTCTGGCAGGGAAAGGGACATCGCCCACCTCTCTGGAAGGGGGGGTGGAGCGCCAAGGCTCAGGTAGAGCCCACGGGTGGAGGCGGAGACCACAAGTGACCTCTGCTCACCCGGAGCCATCTTGTGTCGCCAAGAGAATCCCACAAGCGGTGCCTAGAGGGCCATGAGAGCTCCTCGAGGCTGAGGACAAGCGCAGGGCATCGGAGAGGCCCCAGAGAAACAGCGATCCTGCTCATCTGTTTACTCAAGGAGCATCCCTGACCCTTGCTCTGGGTCAAGGCCCTGCGAGGGTTCCAGGGACCCAAAGATGACACGGACTAGGCCCGCCCACGGCAACCCTATTGCTAAGGACCTGTGCTGGGCCATGGAGAGCAGTGGTCGGTTAGGTGGAGGGATGAGAAGGATGGGTCGAGGAGCGGCTTGGGAGAAGGCCTGGGAGGCAGATGGTCAACACCCCATTCTCGTCGAATCAATTGGCCAATTGGTCCAGGACGGCTGGGGACTTGTGGCTGTGCTCCTGGCTGGGGGACCTCGGCACAGACTCCCGCTTCCTGGCTCCCCAGAGAACCTTCTCTCCGAAAGCTGGGCCCCCCTCTACCTCAGCCAGTCTGGCTCTAAGCCAGCCGACAGGGCAGCCTGACTCCTGGAAGCCTCCAGCCTCTCCTCACCCACCATCAGAGCTCAAGCCCCAACAGGCCCTCTGTGATCAAGCCTTTGCCAGCCTCCCTCGTTGCCTTACGGCCACTCCCACCCCGGCACATCTGGGCCTTTGCCCACACTGTCCTCTCTAACTGGAGTGTCCTCTGGCTGCCAGTGCCAGGCTCAAGTGACCAAGATTTGGGAGAGCTGAGTTCCAATCCGGCTCGCTTCACCTCCCGGCCCTCCCGGCCCCTCCCCCCACATTCCAGCAACTTGGCCCCTGGCACAGCGGACCCTTGGCACCTCTGTAACACTTTCCTTGGGGGTTTCTTGGCCTCCAGACTCTTCCCCACTGGTCCACCTCCACTACGAGTGCTCTCTGTTTGTGTTTGTGTTGTTGTCGTTCATTTGTTTTCCTCTTTCCTTTCTTAGTGGTCTTTCTTAAAAGTAGTTTGGGCTTTTCCTTCATCGTCAGCATTTAAGACCCTACAAGACGCTTGCCTCCTTTAGGCATCCACTCTCTACAGCCTCCTTCCCTGAGGCCTGCCCTGGCCCCCAGCGTAACCCCGTTCTGCTGGAGTAGGGGACCAGGAACCTTGCCTAAGCCTGGCAAACCCTCATGTGTCTTTCAAACTCAGCTCCATGGCACTTCCTCTGGAAGCCTTTTCTGATCCCCGGTACTGGATGGGGTTTTCCTCCTCGGGCACCCTCAGCACTCTGTGTTTGCACTTATCCCGAGTGTAAGCACTCAGTTTGCTTTCCTGGCTCTGCTACAGGCTGAGCTTCTTAAGGGCAAGGAGGGTTTCTTGTTCGTTTCTGTGTCCTCAGAGCACCTGGCAGTGTTCATTTATTTCAGTGTCATTTGGTGGATGGATTTATAAAACAGGCAGGTGATGAGGGGGTTGATGGGTGGGTAGTCGGCTGGATGAATTGTTGGGGAGGGGGGTGGTGAGGTGGATGACTGACTGCACAGCACGGCGAAGGGGTGGGTGGCTGGGTCCAGGGACGAGCAGGTAGATGGGGGCGCGGGTGAGCAACTACAAGGTTGGGGTGGTCGGATGAGTGAGTGGATGGCTGGGTAGGTGGGGGCATGAATGGGCCGATGGGTGAGTGGGTGCCTAGAGAGGTATGGGGTAGTTGGAGGGGCAAGCAGACGGGTGGGCAGAGGGAGGGAGGGATAATCGGGAGGGTTAGCGTCCTCCGTGGCACAGGCACGTGCGGGGCTTTTTACTCGTGGAAGAGAAGCACCACGAAAGGCCACGCTCAGAAGAGCCGTGAGGGCGGCTGGTGGGTGTCAAGCACGAGGAGCTGGAGTGGGGGGAGGGCTCTGGCAGCCCAAAGGGCCCTGCCAGGCGGGTCAACTCGGCCTCTCCTCTGCCCCCCTCCCGCCCCCCAGGCAGCGAGAGCTCCTGTTCCGCTTCCTGCAACTGGTGGCCGGGGTGGAACATCATCAACAGAAATTCCGCTCCCAGGCATCCGTCCTGGACGAGATCGTGGACACAGCGTTTGAGGTGAACAGGGCAGGACCAGAGGAGAGGGGCCGGCATGGGAGGACCCCAGAAGGCCAGGCATGGGAGGCTCGCCCCCAGACGTGCCCCTAAGGGTCACAGGGGCAGGCGAGAGGACAGAGGCCACTACTGGCTCAGTCGGCCTCCCATCCTACCCCTGCAGACTGGAGAAGAGGACTTCAGGAAGTGACCCCTCGATGGAGAGGGACATGGGATGAAAGCCTTCGGCCTCTGGCAAGCTGCCCACCAGGGTGGGCCAGGACAAGTTCCTACATCTGCTGGAGTGGTTGTCGGGCCCACAGGGCTGGGCCCTAACAGAGTTTTAAAACCCCAAGCGGCTCTGTGTCCTCCCTGGGCAAGCCAAGGCACAGGGCAGGGGAACTGTGTGCACTGGCGGGTGTACGTGTGTGTGTGTGTGTGAGTGTTGTGTGTGACAGGCGCTGTTCTTGGTCCCCTCCAGCCCCCCACCCCCACCCCCAGGGCCTGCATCCTGGCTTGGGCCCACAGTGCATTAGCAGCAGCCAGAGAGGTGACTCGGAAAGGGGGCCGGGCTCGGTGCTGGAGGGGTGAGTGGGCAGTCACCTTGCTTCGGGGAGGAAGGTCCATCTGGCCCCAGAGTTGGGAGAAAAAGAACCAGCTGGAACAGCCCCTGGTTGTCAGGGCCTGGGGAATCAGTAGGTTCCAGAAATAGGGGCTCAGAGTCCGGGAAGCCGGGCCTACCGAGACCTTCAGAATCCAGTACAAGAGTGCCGACCTGATGGCGATAACATGCACTCAGAGGTCAGAGGTCATTGCCATACCCTGCCCTGCCTGGGGTCACATTAAAGAACCCAAGTGAGGGGAAGCAGGGTGGAGGCTGTTCAAGTCCTCCTGGCCTCAGGCTATTGGTAGGAGTGCAGGTGGGGGTGGGTGGGAACACAACGTATGTGTATATGTGAGTGTGTGTGTGTGTGTGTGTGTGTGTGTGTGTGTGTTGAGGGGATAGATGAGCCTCTGTTGGAGGAAAGCAGAGAATGAGACTAATGGTCGCCCCCACCCCCAACCCTGCCTGGTCTAGGGCTTAGATGAGTTCCCCTACTTTCAGCCTGAACCTGGGCAAAATGCCCAGAGCCCGTCCCCATGGCCTTGTTGGAGGTAAGGCTCTGACCCAGGTCCCCAAGGGCCTGGGCCCGGTGCCGGAGACCTAGTGCTGAGTCAGGCTCGAGCCCAGCCTTGGCACTTCACAACCGGAGTGGGGCGTTGCACCGTCTACGGCAGCCACCTCGTCCCTGGCAGAGAGAGGCCAGGGCACAGTACGGTCTGGATGGGGTCAGGAGCAGGATGGTTTTGCCAGTCTCCCTCCCCCTCCACCACCTCTAGGCTGGGCCAGACAGAGGTGAAGACTCCAGGCCCTCGGGCAGAAGCAGAGCCTCACTCCCTGGCCCGGCCCGGGGTACCGCCTGGCCCGAGGCCCGGGAATAGACTGTGCAGACGAGATGCCATCTGGGATCCGGGCACTGATTCCGGGGGTGGAGAGGCCACCTGGCAGATATCCGCAGGCCTCGCCTCACCCACCACCTCACACATTCATTGAGTAAGCATTTCCTGCCACTTCCCCTGCCCAGTGTCAGAGGCTCCTGCTAGGTGGCCCACGGGAGCCCTTCCAAGCGGAGGCCGACCTCCACACTCCATGGCCCTGGGCTGTCTGAGCTGTCTCGTCTGACAGGCTCAAGCAGGGCTGAGGTTTTCCGCTGCACCCCTAGTTCCCGTCAAACTCAGCCCCTTCACTCCTCAGTGTTCCAGGTGGAAGTTACCTCTATTTTCCGCCTCCCCATCCCTACCCCTACATAGCCTCTGGGAGCAGAGGGCAGGGCCTGGCACCCGGGGCTGCTCCTCATTCGGTCCTAGCACTGGGCAGGGGGCTGGAGGCAGGCACGATGGGGGCGGTGAGGGACAGAAGACCGGGGCAGGGGCATTCCCCAGGTCCACAGCCACCAAAGTTCAGCCCGCCAGGGCCTGCTGGGGCCCACACCTAGTGCTCCCAAGGGATCTAGTTACTGCTCGTCCTGTTCCAGGCGTGTGTGTGTGTGTGTGTGTGTGTGTGTGTGTGTGTGTGTCTGAGGCACAGCTCCCGGTGGGGGATGTGGGTCTCTGGGGTTATGTGTTTGGAGGTCTGTATACATGTCCAGGCTGCTTGGGGTGGAGGGTGTTACTTCTGTGTGCACCTGTGTTTCTGGAGCATCCAAGTGTGTATTGTGGTTTGTGTGTGTGTAAGTGTGTATATAGTGAGGACGAATGGTAGCCACATATGCAGTTGTGCATAAAATGTTGCAGTTCCGTTTTCTTCAAACGACATCAAATTGCCTCTGTCCCCTCATCCCTCCTGTGGGCAGATGTGACCTCGGTCCCCTTGGGGCTTCCTGTCCGTCCCCTTCCAGGAGTCTTGCCTGGGGCAAAGCACTGGGGAGTCCCTCTGGCGTATAGCCCACAGTGTATACTTGAAAGCCACTGTCCCTGCCCTCAAGGTCTCATGGCCTGTGGGGACTCTGCCATCTCTGGCCCATGTGCGGGTATGGGATTGTCACAGGCTGGGAACTCTGAGTCCTGGGGGGCGGGGAGTGAAGCACTCAGGAGAGTCCAATGTGAGAAGCCGGCAGCACTTTATTGTGACAGATACATCCATGGATGTGTGCCTTCCGCGCTGCACCTGCTCCCTCCGGTTCCCGTGCCTGAAGGGGTCTAGGTTATGGTCACACAGTTATGCTTTAGAAGTTGGGAGGAATTCTGCCAGGGGACCACCAGGATCTCGAAGTCACAGCGCAGTTTCTGCAGGGAGAGAAGGAGAGGTGGGTGGGGCCCCAGGCCTGACTCCTGGCAACTGCCATCCTTAGCCTGCGACGCTGTGCTCTGGGGTTCGAGAGCGGCGGTCACTGGCCCAAAGGGACAATGACTCAGATGGCCGGGACCAGATCCCAGATCTTGCTAGCCCGCTCCTGTGAGGGAGAAGCCCCAGTCTCCTCCTCTCTGTACCCCACCCTGGCCTGGTGAGTGAGTCATCCAGGTGACAGGGACAGGTTCAGCCAGACATCAGCCTGGCCAACCAGACCAGTTCGGGCCGGACAATCGAGGGCCTTGGGTGCTGGGCAGTGGGGTGCGGGGCTGTTACCTCCTCCTGCACGCCTGTGGCCAGGGGGCAGGTAGTGACATCTACGCCATCTCCGGTGGCCACGTTCTTCCGGCAGGCTGTGCTCCCCATCTCCAGGGTCAGGTAGTACTTGATGCCGGCCACCAGCTGGGGAGAGAGGGCAGGAGCGGGTGAGGGGCACCGGAAAACTACCCCAGACCCAGACCTCTCCCCTCTCTCCACATTCGGCATGCTGGGCTGGGCCTCGGGATTCAAACCCTGGATGGGGAAGTTCTGGTGGCGACCCGACCCCTGGGGAGAGGGGCGGAGGCCCGGGCCACACAGGAAGCTGAGACCCAGGTGTGCACATGTCCTGAAGCCCACCGCCCCATCTCCCTCACTCCCCTCTCCCCAGTCCGCCCCTCAGGGCGGGGGCTACCGTGAGGCTAGTGAGACAGGGCTGGATCCCGTCCACTGAAAGCTGGATAGGTCGTTCATAATGAATTCTTGGCATTAATCCGATTTAAAAAATACATCGTATGAAAATGTCCCCATTACTCTCGTGGCACCCCCTCAACCTGGCCACCGGCTGCAAGCCCTGCTGGCCTGGTGGGAGGCTGCCTCTCGCCCCTGACCCGCCCGCCCGTCCACACCTGACTCTGGGCCTTGAGGATCCTGGTGTCGCGGAAGTAGTAGAGGCTGTTGCTGCCCATGTTGTAGCTGGCCACGGCCGCCTGCGCTGCCTTCTGCACCTGGGGGTCACTGAGTGACAGGTTCTGGCGTTCTCCGACTCTGCGTTCCGCCGGGCGGGCACGGGCGTCACCGGGCAGCGCCAGGAGGCAGAGCGCGAGCAGGCCCAGGCCCAGAGCCCGCGAGAGGCTCGGGGGCGCCATGGCCACGGTCGGTCGTCAGTGTCAGGCCCTCGGGGGCGCGCCGTTTTTATAGGCTAGCGGCCCCGCCCGCTCCGCCCACCCCGCGGCAGAGGCAGAGCCGGGGAGGGATGGGAGCCTGGGCGATCTGAGAGGCCGCCGCCGTCCTCGCGCCAAAGGGGGCAGTCCAAGGCCCGAGCATACCTGTGTCCCCCGCGATGCTGCCCTGCCCTCCAGGGACACACCCAGTTCGTGAGGGAAAGGACCGTGACAGTCCCCAGCAAGTGCCACCATTCAAACAGTTTCATGGAAAGCTCAGCCGGCATGAAATACCGACAACCATTGGCGAGGTCTTACTATTGCCACCGTTTACTACCTGTGTAACCTGGAAGGAATGCCTTAATCGCTCAGTGCCTCAGTTTCCCTCTCTGTAAAATGGGTTGCTGTGAGAACTCAACAGGCAAAGTGCTTGGAGAAGCCCTGGTCCTATAAATATGACAGGAAAGGAGACCAGTGCACTGAGCTGGGCACCGTTTGACCCTCCCGGCCAGCATGAAATGGGAATTGGTAACGTTTCCACCTTACGCAGCGAGCCACAGGACGCAGAGGGGAGAACTGATTTGCCCCAGGATGTCAGCTAGTAAATAGTAAGTGATGATGCTGGCTTTTGAGCCCAGGCAGTCGAACTAAAATCTGCGCTCTCAGGCCACGCTGAGCCCAAAAGATGAAGACGGGCCAGAAAGAGGGGTGTGTGTCGTACCAGCTCTGCCGTTTACTGACTGGTGACTTGGACAAGTCCCATGGCCTCCCAAGGCCTCTGTGTCATCATCGAGGATAGGTGACCACTCTTACCTGCTAAGGTTACACTGGCATTAACACCCGGGACTGGGCCACCCATAGGTAAACTGTGCGTGCTGGAGGTAGCAGCCAAATAGGGCACTAGGAGTTTTTTTAGAAAAATCTGGTAATCAATGAACAGCGCTGAAGCAGCTAACACGGGAAAAGTCTGAATCTTGGTGGACTTCCTTATTTGTGTTTTAGAGTTCAGTGTAGCTTGTACCTTAATCACGAGTTGTGGGGGGTAGGGGTGCATTTTGCTCTGAGGCACTAAGATCTTGTTAGTGCTTAGGGCCTCCAGGGATCTCGCTTGGGGCTTGTAAGGGGTAGTGGGTTATAGTACCTGACAAACCGTTGGGGGCTATTACGATGGTGAATATTACGAGCAGGTAGAATTCCCGGTCGGCCGCAGAATCCCAGGGCCAGGAAGGGCCGTGATGTCCTCCCAGGGAGACCCAGACCAGCTGCTCCCCACCCCCTCAGCCCAGCTGTGAAAACCAATCTGGGATTCCAAGGAACAGTCACACAGTCACAGGGTAGGCTCAGGTGTCTGCCTTAAAGAGACAGATGCCCGTTTGTGGGAGAGCCGGCTCACTTGTGGCTTAATGAGGCAGAAACCCAACCTGAGAGAACCTGGGAGGGGGTGGAGTAAGAGGCTCAGGGCAGAGGAGGGAGAGGCAGCCCCAGGGGGCCAGGAGCCTCCCCAGGCTCTCCCAGTCCTGCTCTGCCATTACTTGGAGCTCGGCCATGGCCACACTTACCTCCAACAGCTCCTTGGAAAACTAGCCAAGGCCTCGTCTCTGACCCACCAAGGGCCGGTGGGTCCCTAGCTCGCCGGCCCCTACCCTCCCCCTCACTCCTTTGCACCGGTGCAAATGACTACCACAGGTTGCACCACAACCTAACAGTCTCCGAAGATCTTTCACCCACTGGTCTATCCTAAGCACTCTTAGGTAGTAAGCATCGAGCTTGTTTTTCAGATGAAGAAAGTGAACCAGAGAGGTCAGGTCATTTGTCTAGGGTCACACAGCTAGAAGCGGTGTCTTGGTGGGAAAAGAGGGATGGGGAAGGCTAAGTAACAATTGCTGGGCTTCTGGTGTGTGCCGGGCCTTGCACCGGGGTCTCGACACACTCTCATCCTCATAACTGCTCTGCAGAAGCCGTTTTACTAGGGAGAAATGGGGGAGGTCAAAGGAAAAGTGTCAGGGGTGGAGCCCGGTGCGTGCCAGCGTCCTGGTGCGTGAGCCCTGGACGTGAGTCGCACGTCTCCACGGGGATATGAGGTCTGCTGTGTAGGCGGAGGCTCCCTGGAGGCAGGGGGACCCCAAAAGGATTTTCCCAGGGCTGGGTCTCATCTGGAGAAGAGCCCTCGGCCTGGGCTCCATCCTGTCGGGACCACTCTGGCTTCCAGAAGGAGGCATGGGCCAGGTGTGAGCTCAGGGTTGGCCCTCCCTACCGGCCACAGGGCACAGTCTTCATTTTTGCTGTGGCCCAGGGATCCCAATCCAGGTTGCCCGTGGCACCACCCTCTTGCCTCTGGCCGATGGGTCTTGCTGACCAGGGTGGGCTCTCGACATCTTCACCCTGGGATCAGGCTACTCAGGGCCTCGGTGCTGCTCCCAGAACCCTCTTCCCTGGACTTCCAGTTGGGCCACGGATATTCCCTCCCCCAGGGCTTCGCTCCCCTTGCCCTAAGCACATCTGAGAAAAGAGACGTTAAGGCAAAGAAAGCTGAGATCCAGGAAGCTCCCATTGGTGGAGGAGTGCCCCAGAGTGCCCGGGGCTTCAGGTTCATTAGCTGGTTGAACCTTTACCAACCTATACCAGGTGACAGAGGAGAGAAGTCAGGCTCAGAACAGTGAGCAGCTGGCCCCAGGTCACACGGCAAGTCGAGGAGGCCCTGATTCAGAGGCGGGTCTGCCTGGCTCCTTCAGGCTGTCAGCAGTCGAGGCCACGAGTGACCGTAGAAAGAGCCTTGGGTCCCTGAGGGGGTGTGGGCAACGGGGAAGGGGGTTGATAGGCAAGAACGTATCCTCTGAGCCTTTCACACCGTCTGGGCTGCTACTGGGCCAGAGTGGGGAGGCGTGTCTCAGGCTGGGGTTCATCCCGTAGCCTCCCATTTCCCTCCGGGGACAGCAGGACCCCTTCCGGACTCCAGAGCGTGGAAGCTGGGTTCACCCCAAGCTCTGGCCACATCCGAGTACTCATAAGTAGAGTGGCCGAGCGGGTCAAGCTCTGGCTGGGTACCGCAGGGGAGGGAGGAACAGGGGGCAGTTATCTGCTGACTCCCGTGCCCACCCGTGCTCCCTGGCCGGGCACATCCTGTTGAGCAGTTTGGGTTGACATTTAGATAACCTCCCACCCGTCCCCACTCAGGTCTGCTTTCTCCAACATGACAGGCCTTGGTCCCCTATGTCCTGCAGGCTAAGTTGGGGCTGGATCTCCAAAGCCACCCTGTCACAAAGTACATTCTAGATGCCTTCTGTCTCCTGCTCCTCTAGGACTGAACCAGGAACTTGTGTGGGATGCACTAAGGGACCCAGATAAAGGGTTTTGACCTTTAACGTGTCACAGACGCTGCCTGAGCCCCAAGTGAGAGGTGAGATAGCAGGTCCCAGCTGCTTCAGAGACAAAGACTGTGGGTGAGGCAGGGAAGGGCCCACGAGACTGTGGGTGAGGAGGAAGCAGAGCAGGCAGTGTGGCCCACGAGCTTCTGCTGGGCGGGCCCCCTTGCCAGAACGAGAGGCAAGACCTGCCAACCGGCATGGGCAGGAGCCATGGGAAGGGTGTTGTGGGGGAGGAGGGAGTCTCCATTGCCTCCCGAGCGTCAGCAGCCATCTGGCAGCGTCAGGATTGAGGTAGGGGGAGGGCATGGCCCTGCCGAGCCCCTGCCTGAGCACCCCAGGCCCGTGTGGCAGTGTCACACCGCAAAGGGTTGAGGCTGAGGGGACTCTGAGGTGACCCTGGACCCATCCAGGAAAACATCTGAAACTTAGCCTGAAACTCCACGGATGGCCTGAATTACCACCGCGGTCTGGGAGTCAGACTGGCATCCTCCCAGAAAGTGGTCTGTAACACAAGCTGGGCCCTGCTCTGGCCACCTGGTGCCCTTCCAGGAGGGCTGCTCACTTTCCAGACCCAGCCCCGCACTCACCCCTTACCCTGACCAATAACCATCCTGTTTTCCAAGTAATCACATAATTGCTCTATCCCTGGGGCCTTACTTCTGGTTTCCTTTTTATCCTTCCACTGTTCTGAGATGTAGCTTATACCGGAAAAGCACACAGTGCATATGTGTTAACAAATTAGTGAATGCCTGTATTGCCACCCCCGCCCCCAAGCCTCCCGCTCCTCACACCTCCTTCCCCCAAAGGGAACTACTCCGCTTCTGCTATTGACTTTTACGATAAGCATTTCCTCGTCTTTTTTCTAGAGTCTTACCACCTATACAGGGATCCCTGAGCGGGGATCCACTTAACTTTATGTGAACGGCATCACGGCATTTGACATTTTGGGCGCTCGGTTCGCCTGTCATTTGTTCACGTTCACTGGTACCGACGGCCGTTACAGTTGGTCCAGTTGGGGGTTGTTATAAAGCTGCGGTGAACACGCATTCGTGAACACGCATTCAGGTGCAGATATGCGAGAGTCCTTGGCAGTGGCCCCGGGAGCAGACGTGCAGGGTCACAGGATGGGTCTTATCTTTAGTTTTACTAGAAAACGCCCAACTGTTTCCCCAAGGGCTCATACCAATTTACACTCCCACCAGCTGGATGGAAACTGTTGCTTCACTCCCTCATCAGCACTTAGTAGTGTTTGACTTTGGAATCTTTGCCAGGGAGTGGACAACGGCATCTCATTTGCGTTTCCGACTCCTGTGAGCACCTTTTCCTAAGCTTATCCGCCATTTGGGGTATTCCTTTCATGGCTGCCATTCAAGTCTTTTACTCTTTTTCTGTCTTGTCTGCTTCGTCTTCATCATAGTCAAGTTCTCTGGATGCAGCCCTGTTGTGTATGTGTGTGGCCCGTATCCTTTCCCACCCTGGGGTAGCACTGCCACTCTCTTTGGTACTTCAGACAAAGTTGCTATTAGCGGAGTTGAGTTTCTCAACTTTTCCTTCACTCTTCCCTTCCCCGGGATCACGAGAACCTTCACATGGTATCCCAATTTTTTGCATTGAATACCTGTCACGCTCCCCTCACCAGACCGTAAGTCCTGCGGGGAGAAGTCTGTAAGCAAGGAGTTCCTCATTAGTGGTCCGGGGAAAGAAACAAAGCCAAGCAGGGCCGGGTGCCACACAGCTAGCGTTATACCTGATCCTTACAACCACCTCGTTTGCCAAGTGGGAAAACAGAGGCTGGGAGAGGCCAAGTGACGTGACCAGGGAACAAAGGGCCCTCAGGTACGTGGGTTTTGAGCTACATTTTGAGGGCCAATCTGGCAACTTCCAAGCAGGAAGTCCACGGTCAAATTACTTAGTCTCTCTGAGCCTCTGGTTTCCTCACCTACAAAAGAAAAAACAATTACCTCTTACCAGGGGAGAAAAATATGTTTGCAAAGATCTTAGCTGCGGGCCTGGTTAACACTGAGCGTTCAACAAAGACCAGGACAAAAATATACCCAACAAAAGTATAACTCACTCAAGCCCACGTAGTTGTGATGTCCATGTTCTGGCTCCCTAACCTCCCTAAGAGAGCCAGAGGCCTGGCCACTCCTCCCAAAGGCCAGGAAAGCACCCGATGATTGGCAGGTGAACTCTTACCTACATCTGATTCACCCTCTTCCCGGTACCCTGGACTCCCACTGACTTTTCCACCAGGTGCTGCCTAGCCCAGATGTTGACTCGGATGACATCTGGAACATCACAGCCCACCCAGATCCCAGGGAGATATCAGCCCACACTCCCTGCCAGGTTACTAAGGGACACGCCAAAGCACCTGGCTGAGGCCTACGTGGCTAGGGTGGCTACCCTCCCGGGTAGGAAGGAAGCCGCCAGTTTCGATCTGCGCTGATAAGGAGTGTCGCAGACCTGGTCAGTCTGTGGGGAAGTCCCAGCCCACCTGCTTTTCAACGCACAAAGCCCAGTCAGGAAGGCCACTGACTTTATTGATTTAAAAAACTTTACAAGGACAGTGACTGTTTTGCCAAAAAAGAGCCAAATAGCATAAAACAGACCAGAGGCGGGGGTGGGAGTGGGGGTCAGGGAAGGGCCTGGAATCCACTCAGAGAAGCTGGTAATTGTTGACATGAAACTGGCAGGGAAAGGAGAAGGGAACTGCATGCAAGGGCGAGAATTTCAAAAAGTTGAAATGGTGAGGGGAGAGAACTCCCAAAAGACCTTGGAGTACATCAGAGGTGGAGTACGACAACAGCAATCTCTTCCTTTGTAGAGGACAGGGGAGGAGTCCCCACGCGGCTGCAAACTCTGGAGACTCCATGCTGGGGCCAGGGGCTGGGGGCTCCCCGGAGAGCCTCACAAGAAGGCGTCGCACCACTCCCGAAGGCACCCGAAGCAGTCCCGG